TTTGCTGCGCCGCGTGGTGAACAGGTGCATCTACAGCTGTTTGCTGCATTGCGCTGTGAACAGGTGCGTCTTCAGCTGTTTGCTGAGCTGCAAGGTGAACAGGTGCGTCTTCAGCTGTTTGCTGCGCTGCAAGGTGAACAGGTGCGCCTTCAGCTGTTTGCTGCTCTCTGTGGTGAACAGGTGCGTCTACAGCTGTTTGCTGCATTGCACTGTGAACAGGTGCGTCTTTAGATGTTTTGTTGCGCTGCATGGTTAACAGGTGCATCTTCAGATGTTTTCTGCGCCGCAAGGTGAACAGGTGCGTCTACAGCTGTTTGCTGCGCTGCGNGGTGAACAGGTGCGTCTACAGCTGTTTGCTGCGCTGCGTGGTGAACAGGTGCGTCTACAGCTATTTGCTGCATTGCGCTGTGAGCAGGTGCTTCTTCAGCTGTTTGCTGCACTGCATGGAGAACAGGTGCGTCTACAGCTGGTTGCTGAGCTGCGGGGTGAACAGGTGCGTCCAACTGTTTGCTGTGCTGCGCTGTGAATAGGTGGGTCTTCAGCTGTTTGCTGCGCAGTGAACAGGTACGTCTTCAGCTGTTTGCTGCGCTGCGTGGTGAACAGGTGCGTCCAGCTGTTAGCTGTGCTGCGCTGTGAATAGGTGGGTCTTCAGCTGTTTGCTGTGCTGCACGGTGAACAGGTGCGTCTACAGCTGTTTGCTGCGCTGCGTGGTGAACAGGTGCGTCTAGAGCTGTTTACTGAGCTGCACGGTGAACAGGTGCGTCTTCAGATGTTTTGTTGCGCTGCGCGGTGAACAGGTGGATCTTCAGCTCTTTGCTGCATTGCGCTGTGAACAGGTGCGTCTACAGCTCTTTGCTGCATTGCGCTGTGAACAGGTGCGTCTACAGCTGTTTGCTGAGCTGCGCTGTAAACAGGTGCGTCTTCAGAGGTTTTGTTGAGCTGCGCGGTGAACAGGTGCGTCTTCACCTATTTGCTGCGCGGTGAACAGGTGCGTCTTCAGCTGTTTGCTGCTCTGCACGGTGAAAAGGTGCGTCTTCCGATGTTTTGCTGTGCTGCGCGGTTAACAGATGCGTCTTCAGATGTTTGATGCACTGCACGGTGAACAGGTGCGTCTTCAGCTGTTTGCTGCGTGGTGAACAGGTGCGTCTACAGCTGTTTGCTGAGCTGCGCGGTGAACAGGTGCGTCTACAGCTGTTTGCTGAGCTGCGCGGTGAACAGATGCGTCTTCAGATGTTTTGTTACGCTGCGCTGTGAACAGGTGCGTCTTCAGCTGTTTGCTGCACTGCGTGGAGAACAGGTGCATCTACAGCTGTTTGCTGCGCTGCGCCGTGAACAGCTGCGTCTTCAGCTGTTTGCTGCATTGTGCTTTGAACAGGTGCGTCTTCAGATGTTTGCTGCGCTGCACGGTGAACAGCTGCGTCTTCAGCTGTTTGCTGCGCTGCGCAGTGAACAGCTGCATCTTTAGATGTTTGCTGCGCTGCACGGGGAACAGGTGCGTCTTCAGCTGTTTGCTGCGCTGTGTGGTGAACAGGTGCGTCTACAGCTGTTTGCTGCGCTGTGCAGTGAACAGCTGCGTCTTCAGATTTTTCCTGAGCTGCGCTGTGAACAGCTGCGTCTTCAGATTTTCCCTGAGCTGCGCTGTGAACAGGTGCGTCTTCAGCTGTTTGCTGCGCTGTGCAGTGAACAGGTACATCTTCAGCTGTTTGCTGCGCTGCACGGTGAACAGGTGCGTCTACAGCTGTTTG